CTGACAGCCCAGACACGGCTGGGCTGTCCGCTGCCCGCGTGTTCCACCGCTTTGCTTCCTCTCCCTGGTCTACTGGAGACCAGGGAGAGGGAGGGCCCCGTTCGTAACTGCGGCTCCGACATAAGTCGGATCCGCGTAAGTCGGGGACTGCCTGTATTTACAATCTGGTCTGGGAAACAGTGGCCTGAGGGGCAGGGGCCCTGTCCCCATCCCCTAAACCCCGCCTCTTCCTGGCGATTCCTCACCCCATGCACCCCGTCCCCTGAGGGATGCGACTTCAGGGATTACCAGGGAAGGAGGGGCCTGGTGCGGGGCAGCAGCTGGGTTCCCCTGTGTATTCCCTGCAGTGGATATGCTCTAGCCCGTAGACTGCCATGAGCCATGAGTTTGAGACTCTGATTTAGAAGAAGGTGCAAGAATCCTTCAATATACAAATTTACAGCGATCAACCCCTGTGATTTGGTTCTGATCTATAATAGTATAATAGGGTAAATTCTGAAGCATGAGATTTAAGCCCCTTCAAAAAAATTTAACATAATTAATTGTAACAGCTCTGGATATTATCATTAACTATATAAATGTTCAATCCCTTTTTGAAGCTTCCTAAATCCTAAGCCTCAATGGCAGTGAGCTTCACAATCTAATTACAGATTGTGTGGAAAAGCATTTCATCCATTTTGAATTTGTCATCTTTTAATTTCATTGCATATGCCTCTGTTCATATGGAGGACATGGAAATAATCTTTTTTACTGACCTATAAAACACTGAGCAGCCTGATGACAGGGGGAGGAAGGGGCAGGGATAAAGGGGACAACTTCCCAGGGCACGAGGATTTAAAAGGACCCAGGGCTCCTGGCGCTGCAAAATTACAATTGTGGCTGGGAGCCTCAGGCCTATTAAATGGCTGTTGGAGCACCATGCAGCATGCTCTGGTGGCACTGGAAAGGTAGCCCCAGCACTGGCTCTTCTGCCCAAGGCTCCACTCCTTCCAGGAGTGCAGAGTTCCCCCTCACACCTGGCTCAGGCTCTAATACTGTGCAATATGTGGAAGGAAAGCTAAAGTTACAGTAGTAGAGTCCAGGGGTACCTATGGACACAGATACACTGAAGTCCTTGCTTACATGAAGATACCACTGTCTTCAATGAAAGTTTTGCATTAGTAAAAGCTGAGTAAGAACTTCAGTATTTGGCCTTTTGAGGAATACCTTCAATTTAAACAATGTTCCCTCTAATTTTTTCCATCCACATGTGGATTTTTTCCATCTACGTACAGAATATTTTTATGTGCATCAAGGCATGTGCAAATGTGCACACCCTCCTGCCCAATGGAAACACAAAACCTGGCTGAATTTCTCAGCTTACAGGGAGCACTGGGTTTGAATACAACTGTATACATTCAAGGAGAATGGTGCAAGGCACAGGGATAAATATATTAAATTTCTGTTTTTTTCTGAATTATATTTGCCTCTGAGAACTCGGTTATACAAAGACTCAAGAAACCATGCTACATCCTTTAGGATGGAGAAGTATTGTTTAGACCCTCAGAATTCTTCATGATATTCTGTTGCTTTCTAATGTATCTTCTTTCTCTCCTTAATATATTGTTTTAGAATAAGATGGCAGGACTTAACATGGCCATCCAAATATTGCTTTTTAATATACTAGCACACTTTGTCTTAAATTTATAGCACCCCAATCCAGCAAACACTACCACATCTGAATAAGTGAACCTCATGTGAAAGCACTGGGCCAGATTCCCTCTTCTAGCCAAGGTGCCTGGAGCTGTGTCTAGACTATACCTCTCTGTCGACAGAGATATGTACATTAGGTGTGTCGAAATTGCTAATGAGGCAGGGATTTAACTATCCCATGCTTCATTAGCATAAACATGGCCACCACTTTTTTTTTTTTTAAGCGGAGCTTTTTCAAAAAAATGGCACTCTAGATGCGGATCTTTTGAAAAATAAACTCTTTTTCGAAAGATCCTGTATTCCTCAAAAAATGAGGTTTATAGGATCTTTTGAAAAAGGATTTATTTTTCGAAAGAGCCACTTTTAGACTGCCTTTTTTTCAAAAAAGCTCCATTTCGGAAAAAAGCGGCAGCCATATTTATGCTAATGAAGCATGGGATATTTAAATCCCTGCCCCTTTAGCAATTTCAACATGCCTAATCTACATCTAATCTCTCTGTCGACAGAGAGGTGTAGTCAAGATGTACCCTAGGATTGCAAGGGAAAAGATGGCTTTAATTCACCTTAATATATCCTGGATCCAAGGACTCTTGACAGATGCAACATCTGCTTGTCTTCCCACAATCCGAAGGTAGGGATGGACTAATTTCCTTGTTCTGTGATGGAGCTTGCTGCTTAATTATCCCTATCAGAGAGTACTTTTCTGGAACTCATAAAAATACTTCTGAATAGACAAGTATTTGACTTGAGTGGACCTGATATCTCTCTTACTAACTGTACCTTTTTTTACATACTGTATAAAGAAGCAGTCCTGTATGATATCCATATAAGTACTGCTGCATTTATTTACTATATGCTCTGCTTCATCTGAGGTACCTTAAATCTCCCACTTATGTCAACAATTTGTCCTTTGCACAAATGTCTGGATTATAGCTAATATTTCATGCCATTGTTCAAAGAGTCTCTAGAGTGAATTCCTATCAAGAGTTTACTGTCTTTCTGGTCTCCAGACTTGAGTACTAACAATCACAGATGTTAAAGACCGAAATGATGTGACAGATTATTCAGCCATTTCATTGCAAACTCAGGATTAAAGCAATTCCCTGCCCCCAACAAGGAACTGACTCCCAATTCCTGACTGGCAGGTGGTCATACTTACTATTGTACAAATAAGGAGACATTTTCCTTTGTATACGGTAATATGTTATCTGTTAATATTTCATCAGTATCTGTACCACTTGAACTTCTATTACAACACAGTATTTCTTTCAATTTCCAATGTATTTTGTCTTTTATAATCAAACTGCAACATTCAGAGATTAATACTCACTGGCTGCGTCTAGACTGGCAAGTTTTTCCACAAAAGCAGCTGCTTTTACGGAAAAACTTGCCAGCTGTCTCTGACGATCTCATGTAAGAGTGTCAGTGTTCTTGCGGAAATGCTATGCTGCTCCCATTCGGGCAAAAGCCCTTTTCTGGAAATGCTTTTGCGCAAAAGGGCCAGTGTAGACAGCTGAAAACTGTGTTGCGCAAAAAAGCCACGATGGTGAAAATGGCGATCGGGGCTTTCTTGTGCAAAACCGCATCTAGATTGGCACGGACACTTCTCCGCAAAAAGTGCTTTTGTACAAAAGCATCCGTGCCAATCTAGACGCTCTTTTCCACAAATGCTTTTAACGGAAAAACTTTTCCATTAAAAGCATTTGAGGAAAATCATGCCAGTCTAGACGTAGCCACTGATTTTTATTTCAGCTGCCTTGCTTGTTAGCCTCATAACATTCAAATCCTTTGTC